CAGAATTTCTCCGGCGCCGGAAGGCCGTCGGAATAAAAGTTGTTTGGGTTAATTATGCGTGTCGGCGTACAGGTGGCCGAGTTTACCGAGGTGGATGGACATTTTTCTGCACGACCTCAGCGCGTTGCAGTATGCCGAGGGGGCGAGTTGGCGTTTGATGGCAAGGCGCGTGTGCAGTAACATTTGACGTAGCCTTCAGTTCAGAGGGAGCTCCGAAATCAACATCAGCAGCTCTTAATGTAGATCACAACCGCATCGCATTCTATGTGATTCTACAGTGTTCGCATTTCTTCGCGTTGCTTCACGTTTGTTCGCATTGATTTGCATTGTTCCGAATTGCTTCGTACTGCTTTGCGTTACGTTGAATGGCTTTGCTTTTCTTTACCTCGCATTGTTATAAAGCGCTGCGCATCGCATTGCATCGCTGTGCATTGCTTCGCACTGACTGCGTCGCATCGGACTGCGTTGTGTTGTAATGGTTTGCAGTTCATCGCACTGCTTCGCATCGTTTCACACTGGTTTCCGTTGCTTTGCATTGCAGCATATTTGCATGGTTTTGCCATGCGTTGCATTGTTCAACGTTGCTTTGTATTGCGTTGCATGGTTTCGTACTGCTTTGCATTAGTTTGCAATGCTTTGCATTGCGTTGCGCCACATAGATTGCACCACGTGGGTTGCACCACCGAGATAGTTTAAACACCACCTAGATTGCACCCGCGAGGTTGCAAAACATCATTGGTTTGGACCCACGCTGGCCAACATCCTTGAGAAGCCTAGAAAAAATGAGGGTTGCAGTTTGAGGCCCTGTTCGTGTCTTGTTGGAGTCGTCTTGGGCCGTCTTAGGCACCCCTTCTTCCGTCGAGTAGCGATCGTGAGCCGTAGTTGAGCGCTTTTGGCCTGGCACCGGGGGGTCTGCCACCAAGTTGGCGATTATTTGGGGCGCTCCTGCGGCGCACTGGGGGCCCCCAGGGCCGTGCCCAAAAATTCTGGCATCCGCGACCCAGAACCTGCCAATGACCATCTGCTGTTTTTTTTCCGCCGGGCGACCCCAGGGACCGCCACGCGCGCGCGCGCGAACTTGAAATAGTGTGAACCTCTTACGGAGATTTCGGGACGCCACTGGCCCGTGGAGCCCGCGAACTCAGTACAGTAAGCGCCCCCTCGAAAAAAACAACGAGCGTTTCGCGGGGTTGCTATCTCGGCGGCAGCCCCGTTTCGAAGAGGGGCCGCACCTCAACCCTCTAGCAGTGATCCGCGCCGAAAGGCAGAAGCGAGCAGCTCAAGGAGTTGCAGCAGCAGCAGCAGCAGCTACAAGCTTCCAAGACTTCTGATGTGTACGCTTCTTGATGTGCCGAGGTATCAGATCCAGGTCGGTTCGGGGATGGTGCCATGATGTTATTCGTGTTTGTTGGATGTTCTTGTGCATCCTGGAAGAGGGTACCCTCAAAGGCTCTTCAGTTTGGCCAACGGAGGGTCTCATGCTTTTGAGGGATGTGCTTTTGTCCTAGGTCCGGCCGTAAAATTCGTTAAAGAAGTCTCGACCAAGAACCTAGCTTTACAAAGGCGCCGCCCTCCTTTTGTGGAGCTCTTGCACACCTCTGGGGGTTTGGCTGTGCAGGTCGGAAAATAGCATAACATACAGTGTCGAAGATGAGCCGCCCTCCGCAGACCTGGTTGAGCGACTGCGCTGCGCTAGAAGTGAGGAGGGTCACAGTTTGAAAAGGACTCGCCCTCTACAGTCAACCTGCACAGTAAGGATGAGCGACTTCCCAAGGGTACCCTTGCATCCTTGCCTCCTCGGTCATCTTCGGCCCATCCTCAACAACTTTGGAAGGCCAGCCCCGCTCGAAGAGCCTCGGCATGGGCGTCCAAGGCCCTTGCATCCTTACCGCGCATCTCTACTGTACGGGTTGACTGTATCCGTAAAAGTGTAGGCATCTGGCCAGACGAATGTGTGCGTCGCTGGGTCGAGAGCCGCGTGATGAAAGCGACCTGGCCTCCGCCCGTGCAACCACTCAAACGATTGAAGGGAACCATGCGTCACCCGGCGGCGAGAACTACATGTTGAAAGCGATCTGTTCTCCGCCCGTGTACCCGCGAGAAGTGGTGAGGGAGATTCAGGCGAACGGTCCTTACCGACACGTCTGCTGGTGCGGGAGCGACGAGTAGTTCATTAGGAAGAGGTGCTGGAAGAGAGGGGGGGAGGAAGCAAGACTGGGCGTGGGAAGTGTGAGGAGGGAGGACGGTCGGGGGCGGGGATGGGAACACTGCAGGACGATGCGCATGAGGATTCAAGGCTGGTGTCCAATGCCAGTCTGACAGGGGGAGGAGGCGAGAGCGGGGAGTGGACCAGGGAATGGAGGGAGGCAGGGAGGGAAGGGGGAGGAGGTGGAGGAGAATGAGGAGGAGGAGGAGGAGAAGAATGAGGAGGAGGAGGAGGTCTTTTGGTTCAAGCCAACTTGGCTCAAGTTTCAAGGCATCTGCTCTGCTGCTCCCCGCTGGAGCGGCCGCTGGCAGGCGGCGGCTGCTGAGCCGGACGCTTCGCTGCACGGGGTGCCGACCCCCGGGCCGCTCTGAGCGGGATATGCGGCTGACCTGTGTTTGTGTTGTACTCTTTTCTGTCATCGTGATTCTTTCTTGGGGGGCCACATGCGAACCCTACCCCTATCCCCAACGATTTCTGAGGGGGAGGGTGGGGTTCACGAGCGAAGTGAACCCCACCCTCTCTCTCAGAAATCGTGGGGGGTAGGGGTAGGGTTTGTATGTGGTTCCCTATTTCTGAGGAGGCCGGCAGAAAGGATGGCATGGCAGACGGTGCAACGACGACGGGGCCGCAAGACATGCGACGCCGGGCTGGCCGCGGACCCGCTGCGGAGCCTTCTCGGGGGGGCGGCCGGCGCAATGCGAAGCAGCAGCCGGATCTCCCGCCTCGCTGGGCCGAGTGGCGTTGCAGCTGCGGCTGCACGAACTGGGTGGAACGCACACACTGCCGCAAGTGTGCTGCCGCCTGGGGCGGCGCGCCCGCGGCCTGCCCGGCGCCCACCGCTGCGCTTGCGGGGAGGCGCGCAGCCGCGCCCTCGAGGGCGCGCGGGAACGCATGCACACCGACTGTGGATTCCGCGCCGAGAGGGAAGTGCACGCCCCGGCCTGGGATACGTGGTACTCGTGCTGCTCGGCGTCCAGTTGCGACGCGCGCGGCTGGACTTTCGCCCGCCGGCAGAGCCTTGCGGAGCTTGCGGGGCCGCTCTCGCAGCGCGGCGCGAGAAGGGCACCCTCGACGCTGAGGCCTTGCGACCCGGGTGCCCTCGGCTCTTTGCCGACGTCACCGCGAGGCGCGGGGTGCCCGGCGAAGAGCGCGCGCTGGGCGCAGCGGCGGCGCACGATTGCTGGGTCAACGAGGATGCCGAGGGCGACGAAAGCCAGCGTCGGCCGGAGGGCCGCGCCCCCTGGCCGGTCCTCCCCCTGCCTGGAAGCCGACGGCAGGCGCGGCGCGGCTGCTCTGAAACACCTGCGCCAGCTGGCGCGCGACCGCGCGGGGCAGCTCGGCGACGACGCTCGCGCCGAGGCCGCAGCGGGGGCGCTGAACCGGCATTGGGGCGCCGAGCTCAGCCTGGCGCTGCACGCCGCGACGGCCTGCCAGCTGCGCGGCGCGCTCGGCTGGGAGCGCGCGCGCCGCCGGCGCCGCGCTGGCCGCGGAGCTCGGCGGCTAGCCGCCGCTGCCAGGCTGCTGGGGCAGGCGGAGGTGGGGGGCTCTTGGGTCGTCGTGGTGGGCAACTGGGTCGTCTCGGCGCTGGAGATGGTCAGGGGGCGTGGTTTCGTGCACTGACTTGTTTCACATGTGCAGGGTGAGGAGGAGGAGGAGGAGGAGGAGGAGAAGGAGGAGGAGGAGAAGGAGGAGGAGGAGGAGAAGGAGGAGGAGGAGGGCAGGGGGGGGAGTGGACGGGGGAAAAAGACCAGCCCTCTCCGCTTCTGCGTCCTGCCCACCCTTTTTTTGTTTATTGTCGGACCGACGTATGAGATCGAGATTGGCTCGGGGAGAGAACCCAGTGTTCTTCGTGCTTCTTGCGTGAGGTTGCGCATCCTGGGGGAAGAGATTATTATGTGAGGCTCTTCAGTTTGACAAGCGGGGGGGGTCATGTTCTTGAGGGATGTTATGATACATCCGGTCCGGTTGTATTGCACCCTTGGAGTGGGCCGCGGGTCTCCACATAAGGAGCACCCAACCAAGGCGCTGATGTGTCGTGGAGGACATTCGTTGCCCAGGCACGACGTGGCCTGGAAAACCGTTTGTTCCTTATGCGGCGTTTCCTGTGGCAGCGCGATGGCTGAACATCAGGATAGCGAGTGCCGCACGCCCCCCGAGGAATCCCGAGGAATCCAGAATGCCGTCAGATCCATCGGGGCCCAACGCGTCTAGACACCTCGATCGTCGACCCTCGAACCTCCTCCCGTCCAGCGGAATGGGGATGAGGGCAGGCAAGAAGAGCGGGTGGAAGGACTCGTCAGGAGGAGGAGGAAGAGGAGGAGGAAACAGAGAAGGAGGAGCAGGATCCATCCTCGGCCCATCGAACCTCCCACCTCCCACTGCGCAGAAGGAGGCAAGACGAGCAGGATGAGGATGAGCAGGAGGAGAAGGAGGAGTCGGAGAAAAAGGAGGATGAGGAACAGGATGAGCAGGAGGAGGAGGAGGAGGAAGAGCAGGAAATGGCCCGCAGGAGCAGGAGCAGGAAGGGCAGGAGCAGGGAGGGGCAGGCTGAGGCACGGGAGGAGGCAGCACCAGGAGCTGGAGGGGCAGGAACAGGAGATGTCAGGAGGGAAGTAAACACACAGACACAATTAATCGTCGATTCCCAGGAAAATATGCGAAAATATTGGGAGGTATGGGGAAATATTGGGAAATATGTAGAAAACAAGCCAGAAGATATGGGGAAATATGAGGAATCTTGCTATTTGTGTGTATTTATTTGTGTGTCCCGGGGCCCCTTCTAGATGGCCCGCAGGGCTCCGTGGTCGTTCACGACACGGCGCGGCTCGCGCGCTGAGGGGCGCCTGGCGGCCGCCGGCCGCTCCCAGAGGCGTCAAGTCCGCGCTCGCCGCTCCGTCTCGCCTCTCCCCGGCTCCCCGGCTCCCCGCCTCGCCGCCTCGCCGCCCCGCCCTCCGTTCCTCCCCCCCCTTCTCTTTTCGTGATCTTGTCCCGAGAGCGGGCGAAATACACATGGTTCACTTCTAAATCTTCGAAAGTTGTTTGATCTTTTGGGGGCCAAGATCCTTTCATTTCTGGTTGTTCCATCCTGGGCCTCTTCCTGGCCACTAGGGGGCCAGGAACAGTTAGAAACGAGCACCATCAGAAATGAGCACGATAGGAGATGAACGACGTGTACCGACCTCGCCCTAGCACCGCGCAGTTCACGAGGTGCTGCGCGAGCGCGGCCTATGCTGTGTCATCTCCGCGCCCATTGGAAGTTCTGCCGCGCCCGCCCCTGGGCGGCTCGTCGGAGGCGGCGCCGCGCACGAGCCCCTTCCGTTGGTGAGGTGGGAGCGCCTTACAATCCAAATGTCAAGGTGTGCCACACGATTATTGTGTCGTGGGACGGAGGGCTGGAGTAGGCGTGGCCCTCTGATTCGCTCGACCTGGCTGAGTTGGGTTTCGCTCTCATTTTAAGCTTTTTCTCGCTTCCCTCTCTCCCTGTCTCTCGCTGTCTCTCTCACTCGTTCGCTATGTCTGTATTCTCGAATAGTTTGCTGTATCTCCCTCGCTCCGTCCTTCCCTCTCTAGATCCTATTCATCTAGCTCCCTCTCTCTCGGTCTCTGTTGTTGTTGGCGTTGGTGTTGGATTATCACTACTTATTTCTGTTGATCCACCCCTCGGGGTTACAGTGTGTTCTTGAATTGAAGTGCCCTTCCTGGGGCTCGCACTTTGTTTCTTAGCAGGGAAAGTATTGGGTCGCAGAATTCTGTTGTTGGCCCCGGTTTGCAACAACAGCGGCTCCCGCCTGATATTTTTATTCCATGTATTATAAACTCGCGCTCAAACGCGGGATGCCCCTACATTTTATGCAGGAATCGCGCTCTCGCGTGGGATTTCCTTCATTTTATTTTGGCGCCGCGCCCTCGACACTTTGGAATCACGCTCTCGCGGTGGCGCTTCTTTCGGTTTAATTAGGAATTGCGCTACCGCTCGAGATTACCTTGCGATCCACTCAGGATTTCCACTTCAGCAACCCGCCTTCTCGACCTGGCCGCGTGGGCCCGCCTTCCTGGACCGCTCGGCAGGGTCTGCCCGGCCGATTTGCCCGTCTGGTTTTGCCACGTGTTTTCTGCTCCTGGCCCCCCTCTTGCTAATTTCTTTCGTGTTCCACCATTCTCCCTCCTCCTTCCATCCGTCCTCTCTTCCCTTGTCCTAAGGGCCTGCACTAAATGCACGTGGCAGGTAAGGAAGATATACACCCAGTGGGGTCATGATCGAAGACGAAGAGGGTGGGTACCGAGGGTTGGGGATAGACGTGTTGAGTGGCACGCGAGCAGGTACAAGCGAACATTCTTAACATCAGTTGCTATGGCTGCTGTTGTTGAACATGTTTTTGATTCGCGGGTCGAGAGCGCACTTCTTCCGGTCGAAGCTAAGCGGGCCACGCGAAGCTTGAATTAACAAAGAGGGGGGGAAGGGAATCAGCGCAGCCTCACGGCGAGGCCGGGAGGAGGCAAAGCCTCGGGATCAGGCGGTGCCGAAAACGACGTGCTTGCAAAGGAACGCCTTGTACAGGAACCCGGTGGCGAAGTACCGGTAGAAGCAACATGCTGTGGTTGGTGTTGCCGTCCACAGCTCATCATATACACCAGCTTCGAGTTGGCGGCGAGAAGTGACGCGCCTTGTACCCAAGCGACGTCAGAGACCAGGGAGGGTAGAGAGCATCGCTGAGCCGAAGTGCAGCGTTGTGCCATCGAACAGGTAGCAGGAGCGAGTGGCCCAAGCCGTGGTCGTCCAGGGTGCCACGGGTCCAGGGCACGGGAGCCGAGTTGTTGTTGAGCACCCACTACTGAAGAAGAAAAATTGTTGATCCGCGCCCTCCGAGGCACATTTGTCTTTCAAGTGAAGTACCCTTCCAGGGGCTCGCACCCTGTTTCTCATCAGGGGAAGTCTTGGATCTCAGAATTGCGTTGGTGGTCCCCGGTTTACAACAACAAGGGCTCCCGCCTGATACGTCTCCACAAGTTATTCCCAACTCGCGCTCTCGCGCGGGACTTCTCCACAATGTATGCAGAATTCGCGTTTTCGCGTGGGACTTCTTCGCAATGTATTCAAGCGCCGCGCCCTCGACACTCAGGAATCACGCTCTCGCTGCGGATTTCCTGACGGTTTATGTGGGAATCCCGTTGTCGCTCGAGATTTTTTCGCGGTTCATGCAGGACGCACGCTTCAGCACCCCGCCTGCTCAACCTGGCCGCCTGGGCCCTCCTTCCCGACCCGCTTGTCAGGGTCTACCCGCCCGATCTGCCCGTCTGGTTATTCCACGCACTTTCTGCTCCCAGTCCCCCTCCTGCTACTCTCTCTCTCTCGTGTTCCATCCTCCTCCCTCCCCCCTGTCCCTTCCTTCCATCCGCCCTCTCTTCAAATGGCTTCAGGGCTGCACGAAATACACGTTGCAGGTAAGAAAGATACACCTCCAAGCGGGTTACGGTCGAAGACGACAAGGCTGGAAATCGAGAATTTAGGATCTACGTGTTGCATAGCACACGAACGGCGAAGAGCGAACAGTCTGAAACTGGTTGTTCGTGTTGTTGCTGTTGGGCCCTGACTCTTGAAGAATCAGAATTGTTGATCCGCCCCATCATATGCTTTCTTAAGTGAATTCCCCTTTTTCCGGGGCTCGCACCCTGTTTCTCATCAGGGGAAGTCTTGAGACTCAGAATTGTGTTGTTGGCCCCCGGTTTACAACAACAGCGGCTCCCGCCCGCCTGACACCTCTTCACCATATATTACCAGATCGCGCTCTCGCGCTGTATTTCCTCACTAGTTATATACGCATCGCATTGTCGCGTGGGACACCCTCGCAATTGATTCAGACGATGCGCCTTCGACGCTCAGGAATCACGCTCTCGCTGTGGGTTTCCTCACGATTTATGTGGAAATCGCGTTGTCGCTGGAGACTTCGTCGCGATTCATGCAGGACGCACGCTTCAGCAACCCGCCTTCTCGACCTGGTCGCCTGGGCCCGCATTCCCGGCCTGCCCGCGATGGGCCTGCCCACCCGATATGTCCGTCTGCTTATACCACTTGTTTTCTGATATTCGCCCCCTCTCCTGCTAATTTCTCTCGTGCTCCATTTTTGTCCCTCCTTCCACCCGCCCTCTTTTCACTTGGCTTAGGGGCTGCATTGAATGCGCGTGGCGGGTAAGGAAGATATACCCCCAAGGGGGTACGATCGAAGACCACGGGGGCGAGTACCGAGGGTTTGGGATGTACGTAGTGATTGGCACGTGAGCAGATACAAGCGAACAGTCTTAAAACGATTGTTGTTGTGGTCTTGCTGCTGCTGTTGTTGTTGTTGTTGCTGCTGCTGTTGTTGTTGCTGTTGTTGCTGTTGTTGCTGCTGTTGTTGCTGTTGTTGTTGTTGTTGTTGTTGTTGTTGTTGTTGTGGTTATGGTTGTTGTCGCTGTTGTTGTAGTTGTTGCGGATGTATAAGCGAAGCATTGTGGATTGCCACAATACTACTGTAGGTGTCTCAGCGCGCGGCGCGCGTCCACTGAGCGCTGGGCGCCGCGCGCGCGTGTGTCGCAGGCGGGCATACCGAGCTGACGGATCAGGCGGGGCGCGCATGCAGGGGGAACGCAGCGACGCGCGCCCCCGCCGCCGTGTGCCATCGCAGGTACGCGGGTGGGTGAGCCAGCGGCCCAACCCCGCGTGCGCGCGACCGCGGGCCTGTGTGCGTCACAGGTGAATAACGTGTTATTATTCAGGGGCGCCGCGCGCGCTCGCCTGTGGAGTTCTGGCCGTCTCTGCTCTGATGGCTGGCCGCTCGGCCCTGCCCGGCTGGCTGTGCCTTGTCGTCGTTTCGTTATTTCGGGCCTCGGGTTCGCGTTCGCTTTCTCCCTGGGCTCGATGTCCGTCCATGTTTTTGTCTGCCCTGCGTGTTGGCCTGTCCTGTCCTGGGTCCGCTGCTTTCGCCCGGCCTTGTCCTCTGGCTCGCCTCGTGGCTGTCGCCTCCCTCGGGTTGTGTCTTCGCGTTCGCGTGTTCCCGGCTGCCCTCTGGCTGCTTCGTCCGCTGCTTCCGGTCGTCTGGGTCCCTGTCCCGGGTCTCGGGCTCTCTCGTCTGCCTGCTGCCGCCTCGCTCCCTGCCCCCCCCTGCCACCCCCCCGCGCGCGCGGGCCCGTCGCCGTCGCGCCGCCGCCCTATCCTCCCCGCGCAGATTCCAAGCCCCCCTCTCCTCCTCCGCCCTCGAGGTCAGGACATTTGGCCCTACTCACAGGGTCTTGCTTTCTCCTGGAGGCGCATTGGCCAGATGTGGGCCCCCCCGTGCAACTGGCCGCCCCCCCCGCGGCACGTGGTCGCGCTTCGTCGTGCAGCGCAGCGCCTCGCGAAGAGCTAACTCGCGCCAGGGTGCGACGCCGCGCGCGAGGGGCGCGTGAAAGAAGGCTTGTTGTGCAGTCATCCTGAAGGAGGACCCGGCGGTCGCGGCCGAGTGGGGCGATGCGCAGCTCGATCTTGCGATCGCCGCGTTGCGCGACAATGGGTTCTGACGGCCCTGAAGTTGCCCGCGAATTCGGCGGTGGGCGATTCGAAGTTGCCTGGGGAGCTGCCCGCCCTGACGAGGGGCCTCCTGGCGCGGTCGCTGGCGCGGTTCAACAGTGCCGACCGAGCGATTCAGCGCGTCCGCGTGGACGTTGGAGAGGAACTCAAGGCGCGCGTCGTGTCTGGGGGGAAGAAGCGCCCCTGGCCGCTGGCTCCGGGTGGCTATCCCCGTGGGCTGCGAGCAGTGCGATCCGGGAGGCTCTCCTGGTGGGTCGCTGGGACATCTTTTCTTGCAGCTGCGCGAAATATGCGATGCGGCACCGCCGCTTGTCGTGTTTGCAGCCGTGGAATTGTTAGCAATGAGTGGGGCAACGTGCATATTGCAGCTGCAGGGGCTGAGATTGGGCGACTTTGTGGGCTCGGACAGAGCCGAGACACATGTGCTCGAAGTGGTGGAATGCGC